AAACTCCAACTTCTTCCCTTTTCCATACCCACTTCACTCCCTACTGCACAAAATATTAGAGTTCTGCTACTAGCAATGAGAATTGAGGAGAAATTTTTAAATCTGTCATAACCACAAAGGTAGACCTCTTTATGCTCGCCCATGCTGTTTCTCAGGTTGGTAGTTGACGTCCTGCCTGAATGGCTATCCAAGCCCAAGTCCTTCCCAACCGGCAACCCATTCCCAGCCTTCAGGACAGCTCCACCGCACCTTCTCTGGGAAGTGGCCTTGACTCTCCCAAGCTGGGGTGCCGCTCCCTTCTCTGGCGCCTGCACAGTTCCCACATGTCTGCTTGGCCTTAATCACAACCAATTGGAATGTACCGTTTACATGTCTGTCTCCCTGTCTAGACCGTGAGGTCCACAGGGCAGGATCTGTTTTGTATGAAGCACTGTGCTCCCACAGCCTCACAAAGGGTTCCACTCATCCATGGTCAATAGAGGTCTGATCATCGACTGAATTGCAACTCATTCTGGGAGAAGTAGGATTGTATTTTAATCGATCCTTTCTTTCTTTCTATTTTTCTCCGTACCCTTTCTACAAACATCCTGACAAAGGCATTGTACCTAGTGATCACTGCTCTGAGAAGTAGTGTCACAAAAATAGCCAAAACTTTGAAATAAGGCAAAAAGAAAAGAAAAAAAAAGTAGCATATCTTTTCAACATTACCCAAGGCCCCTTTTCTGGGAATATACATTTAGTTCATTTCATTGTTTGCCATGGACTAACGGTCCCTAACTTAGTGATGTTGCCCATTCTCTTACACATTTTTGCCCAGTAGAGATGCAAATAATTTCTGTCCAGTGGGGCAGATAATCCCTAAGATTTATGGCCTGTCACACATTAGCCAGTTTATATCTAAGCCTAACATTTCTTTATGTAATTGCCTATAAATATTTTCGTTTCATAGGTCGTTTCTGAGCAGGCCATAGGTAACATCTTCCTGGTTCCCTCATTAATTAATGAGTTAAATAAAATCTTTGACTTATGTTTCTTTTATATTTCTCTAAGGGTTAAAAATGTACTTTTTATTTTTTTTTCAAAATAATTTTTTAACACCAGTTGTAAAACAGATTAACATGTAAAACCAAAAGGTCAAACAGGGTAGGTTCCATGGAGCCAAAGAGAGCCCTGAACAGAAGCAGCTCTGCTAGGAATTTCCTAAAACCTCTCACACAAAAATGGGGACAACATGCTAAGCTCCCTGTCTCCCTCACAGGACTATTGAGATAATCAAACAGGAAGATTTAAAGAATTTTGGAAAAGTCTTAAGCACCAGTGCCCCAGGAAGGGGTCTTGTTGTAAAGGAAGGCCAGCTTTTGTCCCAGAAAACAGTGATTGGGGGGGGCAAGATATGGAAGTGATAGCATTATCATTAGTTAGTTACTAATAATAGGAAAGGAGAAAAGGAAGGCCAGACATGATAGTCATGTCATCTGGGCAACTTCACCAGGAAGCTACTTTACATTCCCCAAGGCACCACTGGCCCGTTCCCTGCAGATCACTGGGGAAAGGGACTGGAAAAAGGAGAGAGAGACACACACATAGTAAAGTTGGAAGGCGCCTGCCAGTCAAATCCGGGAACAAAGATTGTTGGCCAGAATAAGCAGGGCCAAGGCAAGCCTGGGGAAATTTGGGGATACCCCTCAAACAAAGCAGTTCGCTCTCTCCCTTGGCTTCCATGCATTGGCCCGTGTTCCCTCCAAGCTATGTGATGCCACACGCAATGGACTCATGGACTGCAGCAGGGAACACAAGCTAAGCTAGCCTGATGCTGATCTGAACTCTGCTCCTACATGGAAAGGAAATTCTCAACATGGCTCTGTTCTAGCTCTTCTGAAGCCACAGCTAGACTTCTTCCTTAGGGGGTTCTCGGGTGAAGGCGTAAGGAAGGGAGGCGTGGAGGGATGAAGGGAAATGGGTCCTTGAAAACTCAGATTGGATTCCATAGAAATAAAGCTTTCTATAATATCTCATCCTCCCATGGGAGTCTCAGAAAATTCCTTTTCTCAGGATATCACAAGAAGCCCACTCCCACTAGCAACCAGTGAGACAAGGACCTCTCCGCACTGATAACAGGAGACTGGAATGAACACAAGAGACTGGAATGAACACAGATAGAAAGGAGCTACTGCCATCTCCAGATTAAGCCACTCTCGCCTCTTGCCTGAACATTAGATAGGCCTTCTAGAGCTTCTGCCCCCATCCATTCTGAACACAGCAGCTGGTGTGCTTTCAAAGCTGTAAAAGAGATACTATCACACCCCTGCTTCAAGCTCCCCACTGGCTTTCCAACACTCTCAGGATAAAATGTAAGCTCTATATTTGGGACTACAAGATGCTATGTGATCCAGCTCCATGGCTAACTTTCCAAGCTCATCTCACCCACACTCACTTTGCTCCAGCTCACCCAGGTGTTGTTAGCTTTCTCATACATGCTTAGCTTTCTCACCTCGGGGCCTTTGCACTTGCTATTTCTTCTGCCTAAAACTTCCAACTCCATCCCACTTTCTCCATATTACTGGCCTTTTCTTGTGATGTTAACTTAAATTTCACCCTCCCAAAGAGACTTCCTCCCTCCTTATATCTACCATTCTTCTCTCTCTCTGTGTGTGTGTACCCTGTTCTTTTCCTTTACAGCACTCCCCATAATGTGAATATGCTAATGTATTGTCTGTCTCCCCAACCAGACCATAAGTACTACATGGTCTGTGTCTCTTGTGTTTGCCTTCATGTCTGGCACATAGTAGGTGCTTAGTATACATTTGTTGAATCAATGAAAGTAAAGACATGATAAATGGTAGCTGGTGCCAAGTCTGTATACATTTCTGAACAAGACCAATACAGGTCCCATCCCTTAATCTTGAGCAAAAATTTCAAAAGACAGAAGCCAAGAAGAAAATTTTCCAAGCTCCCAAGCATCGACTCAGAGTCACTTTCAAGAACAGAAATGCTTTGCCTCAGGAACTACCGTGTTTCCCCGAAAATAAGACATCCTCTGAAAATAAGACCTAGCACAACTTTGGGAGAAAAAATTAATATAAGACACTGTCTTATTTTCGGGGAAACAGGGTAGTAATAACATTTCTCCTCATCAGGCACTTCATTTAGTAACTCCGAAGACATGGAATGTCTTCAGGAAAAGAGAATAGCCCTTTCTTCCAAGAATTAGATGTTACCCAGAAACTCTACTGTATCTGTACCCAAGGGCTAGGTTTAAAGCAGATGAAAGAAGCAGCCAATTGGAATTCAGGAATATTTCAACAGCAAGGGGAGAGAAAAATCCCAGAGGCCTCACAGACCCCGCCCTGTTGGCTTCAGGGCGTCGGATTACATGGCTCCCTCTAAACTGGCCCGTGTTTCTTAATGAGCCCAAGGATACAGCTCCATTTCCTGGGCTTAGGGTGTTACGAAGTCTCCTCCCAGGCACTCCAACCTCTTGTGCAAGATGCCCTGGTCACCTTCAAGATTTCCCCCATAGGCCCCTGGGCTGCACTGATTCAGCGGCAGGCCTCCTGTGGAAAGATTCCTTCAGCAGGAGATGCTCCTTCAGAGCTGCTGGGTGATGGAGGGCTGTCTGCTTTCTCGTTTTTTTCATGTCAAGAATATCAAACAACCGAAGCCGGTTTGGCTCAGTGGTAGAGCGTCGGTCTGCGGACTGAGGGGTTCCAGGTTCAATCCCGGTCAAGGGCAGTACATTGGTTGCGGGCACATCCCTGGTAGGGGGTGTGCAAGAGGCAGCTGGTCGATGTTTCTCTCTCATCGATGTTTCTGGCTCTCTATCTCTCTCTCCCTTCCTCTCTGTAAAAAATCAATAAAATATATTTTTTTAAAAAAAAGAAAAGAATATCAAACAGCAGCAAAATGTGTTTCCTAGAAAGGTGTCTGGTTTGCCTTGAGCTCAGATTCTGCTGGAAATCAGTCCCTGGAAGTGCCCCTAAATGGTATGTGGCCACCCTGGTCAGTGTCTTGGTTAGTTGGAGTGACCTCTCAAACACCAAAAGGGTTGCAGGTTCGATTCCCGGTCAGGGCATCTATCTAGGTTGTGGGTTCAATCCCCAGTAGAGTGCATTTAGGAGGCAACCAATCAATGCTTCACTCACATCAATGTTTATCTCTCTGTTTCTCCCTTGACCTCTCTAAAATAAATAAATAAATAAAGCATTCGATTAATTAATTAATTAATTAATTAAGAGGCGCATGACTAACTATGACACTGAGGCAGGGGTGCAAATCACCACACAATCCGAGATAGATTTATGATGGCAGAGAATACCAGTTTTCCTTTTTCAGATGCCAAAGCCAATTTTCTCCACACCAGCCAATCTGCCTGCCCTCAAAGGCTAAGCTGCAGCCTTCATAGCCACGATCCCCACTATACACACACACACACACACACACACACACACACACACTCATGCAGCCCTCAAGTCCCAACCCCAAAATCCAAATTGCACTGTTCCTCATATCACTCTGAGGCCAGTGTAATTCAAGAAGCTGCTTTCCTTCCCCCAAATGCATTAAACGCATGATTTCTTCAATCTCAGAAAACTACACACATGAACTTGTTACCAATGCTTTGTTTAACTGTTTTTCCTTAGAAATAGTCTTGTAGCCAAAAATAGAACAGTTTCCATTCTGAGGAACACGCAGCATCCATGGGAATTAAAGTGGTGCTTCATGCCTCTCCAGAAAATCTCTGCCAAGCATGCACAATCGGACACACATAAGCTACTTGCACGTTCTCAAAAGCTGCTTTCTGTAGGTACAGTGGTGGTCAGGAGCCAAACGTCTGCTGCTTATTTCCTACCCAAGAAACTTATCAGAAAAGAGCACGAGGTTACCACAAGGACGTTTTATAAGAAACATCTAACTTAATCTAGTGTCATGGCTTTGAGAATGGCCCCATTTCCATCCCTCCTCCCGCCCACCAGCATCCCAAAATTTCTCTCAAGACTTACTCTTCTGAAATCCCAAAGCTTCTCTCAGCACAAAGTTCATGGCCTTCATTCTAGCAAGCCACTGTTGGATGATTAGCCGGAAGTTCTCTCCAAAGTTATCCCTAGGATGAAACCAGAAATGGCAAAGTTAGGAAAATCTCCTCAAGCTTCAATGCTGAACAATATGCACAGGTGAAATAGACTGAGGTGAAATAGACTGTAGTAAACTGTCAGAATAACAGTCACCCAGGAAATTATGCCCTTAGCACAAACTATGGGAGTGTTTTGCTAAAAGTTTATTATTCTCAGTATTTCTATGATCCTTTTTAACGGAGCTCAATGGTTACAACAGCATCTCCTATGTTTACATTTGAACATGCAACCCATTGTACGTCCTCGAGCCCCTCCTAAGCAGGGAGTGGGTTCGCTATAAGATCTGCCAGGACTGCATTTTTATGTTCAGCTGGTAAATATTTGGTTATTGTTGAGAGAGAGAAAAATGAAGAGTCCTTCAAATAACCATCTAATGTTGCCACCAAAGGTAGGAAAGACCAGTAAGCCAATGTAGAGAGAGTCAAGGAGAGGCCAAGAAATGGAGAAACGCATGAGAATAAGGAGGGAAAGAGGAAGTGGCAGAGAGAGAGGAATCAGAATGTCAGACATTAATTGGTGGAGGGTAGAGATGAACAGAAGCAGGTTGACTGGTCCAAGTTGGAACATAAGAAGACAAGCATGGCAAGGGAGAGAGGATGGGAAAGGGAGGCGGTATTGCCAAGTGGTTAAAGGTCAGTAATCTAGCAGCCTGGTTACATTGGGCCAGTTCATCCCTCTGTGTCTCAGTTACTTCACGTATTAGATAGAGAGCATACGATCTCGTGGAGATAGGTGCAGATTAAATGAGCTTATATATGTGATGCTTAGCACAGTGCTTGGTGCTGAGTAAACATTTAACAAATATTGGCTACTTTTATTGCCAAAGGACAAATAGGTTGTTACATTTCCATCAGAGAATATTTGCTTATGAGTTAAACCTCCAGATTTCTTGTCTTTACTCTTCCAGTGCACTTAGGAGCAAAAACATTTATGAGGGAGGTATGAGCCCAAGCAAGTGTCAGTGAAAGGAGAAACTGCAGGATAACAGCCCTATTACTAACAAGTACTCTGAACATGAATGAGACCCCTGACATTGAAAAAGAAAGAATTCAGCCAAAACCAGTTTGGCTCAGTGGTAGAGCGTTGGTCTGCAGACTGAAAGGTCCCAGGTTCGATTCCGGTCAAGGGCATGTACCTGGATTGCGGGCACATCCCCAGTAGAGGGTCTGCAAGAGGCAGCTGGTCGATGTTTCTCTCTCATTGACATTTCTAGCTCTCTATCTCTCTCTCTCTTCCTCTCTGTAAAAAGTCAATAAAATATTTTTTTTAAAAGAAAAAGAAAGAATTCATAACTACCAATTAATTACAACCATTCTTTTCTACTTCATTATTTCAATTACTCAACAAACATTGTCCAAGCAACTCTTTAAACCTGCACACATTTAGTCTTGCTCTGCTCCAGCTAATCTTTCTAACATCAAGTTGAGCCCTTTCCACCAGCCTCACTACTTTATAACTGTGCCTGGGTAATTATTTAATATGAATTTCTTATAAGCCTGCGCCCTTGCATTTACTCATACTCAAGCTGTCTACTCAGTCTGGACTTCCCTTTCCTTTTCCTTCCGTCTAGTAAGATACTAGTCATTCTTCCAGGCCAAATGTTGTGGGGTTTTTTGTACCCCCTATTTTCATCTCCCCGACTGTCCAGCAGAACAAATCTCCTCACCTCAGCACCCTTGTTGAATACACAGTGAATACATATACCTTGTTATGGGTAAAATCATGTTTCACAAAGATGATATGTTAAAGTCCTAAACCTTCTGTACCTCATTTAGAAATAGGATCTTTATAGAGGTAATCAAGTTAAAATGAGGTCAGTAGGATGGGTTCTAACCAATATTACTGATGTTCTTATAAAATGGGGACATTTGCACACAGAGACAGACTTGTACAGAAGGGAAATTATGTGGAGAGATACATGGAGGAAGCCAATGTGAGGGTGGAAAATTGAAGTGATCCATCTACAAGCCAAAGAATGCCAAAGATTGCCAGCAAATAACCAGAAAGTAGGAAAGGGGCATGGAACACATTCTCCCTCAAGCTCTCAGAAGGAGCCAACCCTGCAAAACATTGACTCAAAACTGTGAGGCAGTAAGTGAGTTGCCCAGTCCGTGAGACTTTGTTATAGCAGCCTGTGGAGGCCAGGACACACCTGCATCACAGCATGTGTTCAGTTTCCAGGTGTGCTCCTTACAATTGGGCACTGAGTCATATTTAACTTTGGATCTCAGGCCTCTTATAGGATGTGGCAGGTAAATGGGTCCCTGGACTTTAAATTCTTATTACATAATCCTTTAGAAATCCATAGTCTAGAACAGGGGCAGGAAACCATGGCTCATGGGACCAATCCAGCCCACTGTCTGTTTTGGATAATAAAGTTTTATTGGAATGCAGCCACGCTCACTCATCGATGTTTTGTCTGTGACCAATTTCACACTATAACCACAGAGTTGAGTAGTTATAACAGAGACCATATGGCTCTCAGAGACTAAAATATTTACTCTCTGGCCCTTTACCAAAAAAACTTACTGACCCCTCGTCTCAAAGAAAAGAAACATAAATGAAGCATAGCAATAAACTCTATAATAAGAAGCATAATATGCAAATCGATTGAATACCAAACAGTAGAACAACCATCCTGGCGACATTCTGACAAAGCTGGGGCTGTGAGGACCTACCCTTGCACAAATTTCGTGCATTGGGCCTCTAGTAATTGTTATAATAATGCACAGATAGTACAGAAAAGGGAATAGTGGTTGAATCAAAGTCTTCATGGAGAAGGAGACATTTGAAAAGTGAAAGACAAATTTTACTCAAAAAAGGGCAAAATACTTAATTTATGCACTTTCCTTTGCTGCTTTAACTGGTGATTTCTGCATTAGACATCGCATAGTGGTTAAGGGCTGGAATTGGAGCTGGTTAGGGGAAAAACTGATCATGGGCTCTAATCTCTACACATTGAGCTTGACTCACCAGTGGCATATCCAAGAAGAGATGTTTAACCTCTGGACACTGCCAAGCAATCTAGGTCAGAGACACAGATTTGGGAGCCAATATAATAAAGATGAAGCCATTGCAGGAGGACAGAAGACTACTCAGGAGAAGAGTGGAAAGTGAGGAAAGATGATTGCACATAAAACTCACGGGGACTTCAGAACTTAAGTGGCAGGAAGAGAAAGAGACCCTAAAAAATTTGAGCAGAAGCAAAACAGGAAAAAAGGAGGGAGTCATGTCTGCCCCTAAGGCCCGGGGAATGGTGCCAAAGGCCAGGAGGACCAATCCATCAGATCTGACAACTAGAAGACCACATAGCCTAATTTCAACTGCTCAACACTGGCACAAATTATACTTCAAACTAAGTGATTAGAAAGAGCACACTTCAGTCATCATTAGGGGGGTGGGGGAATAAAGAGTGTGACAAAGGCAAAGAAGGAATTTCAGAAAGAGTTGAGGTAAACATCAAAATCAAAGACAAATGGGCTGAAATTAATGCCTCAGCCATAAATCTAAATGTTATACTCTTTCTATATAGATTCTATCCTTTATATAAATTCAAAGGGACTGAATATTAATCGAGTGCAGAGGATCCATTGGACAGCCAAGCCAATCAAACAATTGATTAACAACCTCTTAACAGGCATTAAGGTAATCACAGCTCTGTGCCAGGTGCTGCGCTAGTTGCTTCACACCGATTACCTTATCTGATCTCCACTAAGTAGTGAATGAATATACTGTATAATCTGTATTTTTTCCGGATGAGGCTCAGGAAGGTCACACAACTACACCCATTCCAAGAAGAACCAAGAGCAGAAGTATGGAGGGGATGGGAGAGTGAAGCCAATATTTATGGAGTGCTTACTCTATGGAAGTGTTTATTTAAGAATTTACATACTTTGGCTCCTTTAAACTTCGCAACAACTCATGTGGAAGAGAAGTTGGTAAGGACATGAACTTGGAGAGGTCCAATACAGTGTCAAAGGTCAAAATTGAGAGAAAAACTTTGTTTTCCAAAGGATTCCTGCAGAACTCACAAATAAATTAACTACTGAGCGATTTGAAGGTAAGGGCAGTCTTAAGTTAATGCTAAAATAATTCAAAATAACTTCGAGTACCTTCTAAGTGATCTCTGAAGGGCTCCTCTGACTCTGAATGAAGAGCAACAAACAGAACTTCCAGCTGCTGCTGTTCCCCTCCTCCACCCAGAAACCAGAAATACCCTGACAGCAGCAGTGGCTTCAAGCTCCTCCTCCTTGAAATACATTGGGGGGCCAGATAACTGGAAGGTTCATTCCAGCATTGAAAGTCAATGTTTCCAAGCAGAGTAGAGAGGGTGGCAGGTAAAGGGTGTTCAGTACTTGTTTATTAAATACTCAATTCAACTGAGACTAAGAAAGGCTCGACTAAAGAATTTTGGGACAACTTTGCAATTGTCAAAAATCACTCCCCTGTTTTTTGGAGGACTCCGTTCTGCAAGGTTTTTACTCACCCTGCTCTACACAGCTCCCAATGCAGTACGAGGTCCACACCCTCTCCCTGCCTCATTCGTGCATTCATTCCACAAACAAAAAAATCCTTGCTATGAATGTAGGTGGTACCTTTTAGTCAACACAAAAGAAAATGTTGGAAGAATGGAGCGTGCTAAAGAAAAAAAGAAGAAGAAAAAAAGGGAAAGCCTTTGGTTTAAGGACAATTATTGTTCATGATGCTTGATGGGAGACAAGGAAATAGATGACTTGTTCTTCATCATGCTTCTAATTAAGCATTTGAGTTCTTCGTTGTTGACGATGGTGAAATAAAACCCCCCCTCTTCGCTGGTGGAAGCACTCACTGCTTCTGTAAAATCATCTGGCAATTCTTATCATGAGCTTCAGAGTTAAGTCCAGCCCTTTGAGCTCTGAAGTTTACTTCCCAGGACATAAACATAGAAAAATTGCCAGAAAAACAGACTGAGAAGACTATAACATATTGATTAATTTCTGGATGCATATGCCTATATTCTAATGCTCACTGGTTATAGAACACGAGCCACTTACCCTCTCTGTGCCTTGGGATTCTTCATCTGCAAGATGGGCATGATAATAGTCTCTGCATCACGGAGTCGTTAAGAGGATTAACTGAGTTATTAAATGTAACATTCTTTACAATCATTTTCTCATTCATTCCTCATAAAAACTCCATAAGGAAGGCAAGAAAAACACTGGCCTGACCTCATCAGTAATAAGCACTCAATAAATTGCAGGCTCTTTTTTATTATACTGTGTACATGACAAAAACACAAAGAGGTTCATCCCAATATTATTTCTGATAGTGAGAACTTGACCAAAGCTCAATAGTAAGAGGATGGTTAAATAAATGATATCCCCCCTATGATAAAAATAGGCAGCTAATTTGAAGTGTTTTTTAAAAAGGAGTTAATGACGTGAGGAAAATTCAGCAAATAATGTTAAGTGAAAAGATAGGCTGTGAATTTGTATGTATGGGAGGATCTCCATTTTGGCACGACATTGTAATGGATAAATGGATAATGCAGTCTTTGCCCAAATCCCTTCTTTGGAGCGCATATCCCTCCCCAGCTGCTGTGACTCCCACTGCTGATAGCTCCCAGCTGCACCCCTCACTGGGAATTGTTCTCAGCCGTAGGAAACGACCCATCCAAAATTAGCCCCTCCAGGGAGCCAATGACTTGCTGATGAGGGGATACAAAGGCCTACCCACTTACTTCCATTTGGAACCGCTCTGAAAGGCCACCCCACTTCCTCCGCTGAGTCTCAGTGGCATCTGCATTTACAGTCGGACCCTCCCCTCTCCCCCTAGCACTCTTCCCCCTCCCTTTCCGAAAGGGTTTCTCCAGACAGAACTCGCCCAATAAACATTTAGCCCGCAGTTCTGCCCTCACAATATGTTTCCAGCTACCCAACTTAAGATATTTTTACATCAAAATATGATGAGGAAATATCTCTGAGGGACAAAAAGTCCTGGACTTTTCCAAATTCTCTATAATGAGTCTGTACTGCTCATTTTAAATGAACAAAAAAGACATCGTTTTAAGAGAGGCAGGGTCCTTCCTAGGGTGTTGGGATTAATTAATCCCGTGATTTTCGATGGACAGATTTTATCTTTCTCAGACTTGGCTCTTCTTTAAAAAACATTTAAATATTTTCATTGAAATGATATCACCAGTAAGTCATAAGCCTGGGTTAACTACAATATAAATGTGCACACATTCAAGTACATAGTGCCTCGACCTGGTCCCAAGGCTGCTGCTGCAGCTTAAATTGTAACTCCTTTCTCTTGGAAAACTGTCTTCACATCCTGTATATTTACCAGTCACAGAAGAAAATAAGCCTCCTTGCTTTCTCACAGTGCCTTGGCGTTTTATTTTTATTAATCTGGTCCCTTTGCCCACTCACCCCTCTGTCTGCTCAAATGTGATTCTGAATGCCACTGAAAGGCTCAAAAGGTCCAATTCTTCCTCAAAGGGTTAAGATTTTTTTTTTTTCTTCATTGAGGGTACTCAATAGAATATGCCAGAGACTCTGACAGTGGTTTCAGAAGAGGAGGCCTTAACATCTTGTGCGACGATACCTGCTTGGAATAAGTGTTCAGCCGGCGAGGGGAGCTCCTTGGGAAGGACAATGCATTGAATGTATCAGCTTTGGGTGTTTGTTTAAAACAAAATGCACCATATAATTTCTAGTGTTCAGTGTAATCCTCTGGTTCTAATGCCACAGGTTGTCTATCAACAGCATTGGTTAGAGAGGAAAAAAAAAAAACTTTAGAAGTAACTGAGTCAGACTTTGTACTTGTAGGTACAGTACATCTCCTCCTAAGGATAAATGCCAAGTTGCTGCAATGACGCCAGGAAAAGCCATCAAGATCTATAGAAGCTGGAAATGAAAGAAAGCACCTTGTGGAAAACGCCCAGCCAAACAGTATATGCTACCTGCCGATAAGCACGTGCAACCACTGATTCACGAGGAAAAAACAGGCAAAGCTTTTGGCTTTACATTTTTGGCATCATCAATTTGATTATCATGAAGGTGTACAAAGTTCTTTTATCATAGCAATCTGATTTGCCTCTACCAGAAACCTCAAGTACAGCCTGATAGAATATAGGTTATTTAGGAGGAAAAAAATAAAATAAAAATAAAATAAAATTATCCATATTTGGAGGGAAGATACTACACATGGAGTCTAGGAAAATCATTGTTTGTAAAATGGCAGTGTTTCTAGTGATCCCATTTCTGGGAGTTTATCTCAAGAAAATAATCAGAAATGTAGAAAAATCTTCATGTATGAAGATGTCATCACAATGCTATTATTTATGTCTTTATAATAGCAATGGGAATATTAAAGGAGACCAAAGAAAACCAAGGATGCTTCAAAGAAGAGGAGGGACACTGTTGAATACATCGGCAGACTCAGGAAACAGCCTTCTAAACCTGAGTGCCGAAACATGCATGGGGCTTTCCTTTATATCTCCCTGTTTTCATCACAAATTATATCATCACAAATATGAATTATGCTTCCAGTCCTTTTCTTGGGCCTTGCAAGAAGGCCCCCAGGTGTTGGGGGTCTCCGGGCCATATCTGGTGGTCTGGCCTGGCGCCAGCACTAATAACCCTCCCTCCGGGGCAGTGCACTGCCCACAGCCCCATGGCCTCTGTAACTGGTTCTGCAAGACCAGTACCTGGATAGAAGGTAGTGACTTAATTATAGGTTATCAAGAATGTACACTGAGCTGAAACCGGTTCAGTTCAGTGGTAGAGCGTCAGTCTGCGGACTGAAAGGTCCCAGGTTCGATTCTGGTCAAGGGCATGTACATTGGTTGCGGGCACATCCCCGGTAGGGGGTGTGCACGAGGTGGCTGGTCATTGTTTCTCTCTCATTGACATTTCTGGCTCTCTATCTCTCTCCCTTCCTCTCTGTAAAAAAAAAAATCAACAAAATATATTAAAAAAAGAAAAAAGAATGTACACTGAGCTTGCTGGCATGGATTCAGATCATATCCCAAATATCAAGGTTTCATTGGAATTAGCCCTTTTTAGCCTTCTCGGGAATAAGTGCCCCACTCTAGGGAAATGGTTCAGGACACTGCCACATTTAACTAATGTTCCTGAAGACTTTATAATAATAAGGAAAAATACTAGTCATAATGTGGGATATATGGTTTTATGCCTCATGCAATGTTTTTTATTTAATTTATTGATTTGAAATAGATAGATAGACAGATAGATGATAGATAGATAGATAGATAGATAGATAGATAGATAGATAGATAGATTTGCTGTTCCATTTATTTATGCATCCATTGGTTGATTCTTGTATGTGCCCTGACTGGGGATTGAAACTGCCACCTTGGCATATTGGGATGACACTCTAACCATGAGCTACCCAGCCAGGGCCTGATGCAATGTTAACTACCAAAAAATATACACAAGCTAAGTAAGCAGTAAAACCAACTAGAAGGAGAAATAATAATATGTCACCAACAGCGGATGTCTTAGAGTAATGAGTTTGTACAACCTTTTTCTCCCCCTTCTAACTTGTCTGCATGTCCCTGACTTTCTATAATAAAATAAAAATTATAAATTTATTTTAAGGTGGAAGGAGGAAGGAGAAAGCAAAAGTTGGCTATCATTCTACTTTGGTGATTGGGGGAAAAGCTGAGAGATCATTCAGACCAGGCACCAGACTACTAGGATGGAGGACAGAAAACCAGCCATGTGAGAAACACACCGAAAAGAATATGGCAAGATGAGTTACCACAGTGAGAACTTTCATTAGGATAATATTTTGAAATGTTAACCAACTTCTTGTCTTTCTTTTCACCAAAGCTTTCTACTATCCAGTCAGCAGCTGAATAGTTTGGCAGGTAGGAAAAAACCACGAGTCTATTCTTGGCCTCAGTTTTAGAAGCCAAAGCCTCTGAGAAGCTGGTAGAATGTGGGGCATGAAATAAGAGAGAGGCTTGCTGGCTCTCAAGCTGAGAAAGCATTGCCCAGACTAGGATGAAGGGGAGAGTTGGAGAGGAAGCTAGGAGAGGTTAGATGCTGGTGGGTCCCCGCCAGTGGGTCCTGCAGCTGGGCCATCTTCCCAGGCTGTGCAGGAATGGGACAGGAAAGCCACAAGCCCTACACAGGCTTGAAGGGTATATGTGCCCTTTTTCCAAGAAGAGAGTCAGGGAGGCTGCAAGATGCGCTGCAGATGCAAGCAGCTCAAAGCAGCGGCTGGGTTTCCCCATTCCAAAGGTTAGGGCTTGGTTCCTACATGCCTGAGCACAGCTCAGGAGGAGTGAATGCTACCCATTACCCAGCCACCTCACAGGATGTGTGGGAGCAAGAACAGCCTTTGCTCCAGAGAGCCCGCTGAGTGGG